ACATCATTTGTTCATTCATTGTTTCTTTCCATGATTAAACATTCAACCATTCAGCCAACAAACATCCATAGAGCACTACTCTGTCCTGGGATCTGTTTCAGGCACTGGGGACACAGTTCCTGCCCTCATGAAGCTCATGTTTAGGAATCATTCAATAAACCAGTGAGCATTCAAGATAACTTCACAGTAATATATACTAGGAAGTAAACAAACAGGGTGACAGGTGAGAGAGGGACTGGTGGAAGGGGGCAGGGACATTCAAGGGGAGCTGATGTCTGCATCAAATATTGAACCAAGAAGAAAGAGTCAGCCATAGGAACACCTGGGGAAAGTATGCAAGGGGGAGGGGACAACAAGTGCAAAGGTGCTGAGGCAGGAAGATGCCCAGCACACTTTAGAAACAGCCAGGAGGCCACTGTGGCTGGAGCACAGTGGGCAGAAGTGAGCTCAGAGAGGTAAGGTGGTAGCAGGTTGTGTGGAGGCTTGAGGCCCCAAGGAGGGCTTTAGATTTTGACCTGGGAACAGAGGTAGCCATCAGAGGTCAGTGCTGCTTCATAAGCCCCAGCCTCAGTCACCATTTCTGATTCTGCGTTTACATGACTATTGGGGTGATGTCTGGCTTTCCACCTGACTTGAGTTCCCAGATGGGGCAGCCATGTCCCTTCTGATCCCCAAATGTCTTTGTGTGTGACTCGTGGTACATGTAGGTCTGTGGCTGGGTGTCCTCAGAAGCAGACGCTGAGATAAGGACCTAGTTGTTTGGGAGGTGAAGCCAGGAGGTGAGGGAGTGGAGACATGAGACAGGGAAGGCAGGGCAGCCAATACAGGGCACATTTCTGATCAGGTTACTACTGTGGGCACCTGGGGCCCAATCCCACTGGGTAACTCCAGGACCAGTGCAGATCATGCCACCAGGGTGTTCCCACTAAGGGGCAAGGAAATGGGTTTCTATCTACCACCTCCCATCAGTCATCAGTTGCTGCCAGGGGTATGAACTCTCTGGCACTTCCGGCTTGTCCTGCAGGGACTTAATGGGCTCTGGTGGCCAGAGAGAACCCTCTGCAAAGAGACGCAGGCACTGGCGATGGAAGACATTGGATTGGTGGTCAGAGGAGTGCAGTCTATATTTAAGCAAATAGATGACCACTTACCGATAGAACAGCTGAGAAAGAAATGCCTCTGAACACGTAACATGGGTACCACGCCTCTTGAATTTTCAGCAAATCACCAGAGTCCCTTGGAGACTGAGTTTTTGCTCCAGCTCTTGGTTTTAGTGTGGCCAGGATGGAAAGTTCTGGAAGCTTGCCCTCTATCCCAGGAGGCTAGGACTCACCACATTCTGGGAAATTGAGGAGAAATTAGGATTTTTCTTTAGGAAGCAGTTTCCTCAACAGTTCCATAAGCCTTTAGCAGCATTCAGCCCTCTCTTATTTGGGTGGGCAGCCCTGATGGTGTGGGCTCTACATTCCAGGAGCAACACCCTTCTCTCCTTCCCTTGCCTGGGAACCCGGGATGACATTTGGATGGCACCATGCCCTCCGCCCACCACCTGGAAATTGGTCTGGCTGACAATGGGGTAGGTGGGGAGGAAGGTAGAGCTGTTGGAACATGTCCCTTGCTGCCTGGGGAAAGGTGGGAGACAGCAGGGATGAGCTGCAGAAATGTGATGAGGTTATAGTTTCTCCATGATGCAAATCTCCTGGCCCTATGAATGGGCCTGTGCAGACAGACAGGGTGAGTGTTATAAAGATACAGTGGGGCAGAGAGACACCTTTCAGAAGAGGTGAATCAAAGAATCCTGTCCCGTTGCCTGGAGCTGGTGAAATCTCCCACTCCCCTGGGTACCAGGTAAGAAGGGGGCATCGTCCCATTGGATCAGGGTTCCTCAAACGTGGCACTGTTGACTTTTGGGGCTGGATATTTAATTTTCTGCGGTGGGGTTTGTCTATGCATTATAGATGTTTGGTAGCATCCCTAGCTTCTACTCAGTGTGAGCCAGGAGCAGGCCCCCTTTCAATCATGACAATCAAAACCGTCTCCAGACATTGCTAAATGTCCCCTAGAGTGCAAAATTGCTCCTAGTTAATAACCACTGCATTAGACCCATAAGTATTTACACAAGAGCTTACTTTGTTCCAAACCCTGTGTTCAGTGATTTACATGTCTCCATGCCCTGAGTCTTCGCAACAAACATATCAGGCTGGGGCTGATGTTTCTCTAGATCCATATTGTCAATGCCCAGGGGCTTCGTGTTGTTGTTCTCCCTTCCTTAGGGTGTGGCCTGGTCTCATGTTGCAATATGCCTCAGCCTCACCCTCACATTCAGCCTACGGGGAAAGGAAAGGGGGAAAGCATATTTCTTCCCTTTACAATGCAACCTGAAGTTGTCCACATAGCTTGGAATCCCATCCATTAGTCAGAATTCGGTCACATGACTATATCTAACAGCAAGGGAGGCTGGGAAATGCAGTGTTTCTGAAACAGTCCATGATCCGCTACAAGTCCATTCCTATGGAAGTACCCCTCAACTCCTATTGAGGGATAACTAGCAACCTCAACCACATCCTATTTCATAGATGGGGAAACTAAGGCACAGAGTGGACAAGGACCTTCTTCAAGGTTCTTAATAAATGTGTCAATATAAATTAAAAATGCTTGGATTCAGATAACAGAAGAATCATGACTAACAGTTATATGCTGAATATGACTTGCCAGGTACTTTAATAAGCCCTTCATTTACACTAACTCATTTAATCTTTACAAACACCCCTTGAAGGAGATACTATCTTCCCTCCAGTCTCCAGATAGGGAAACTGAGACACAGAGCTAGTAAGTGACGGAAAGGGGATGTGATGTCAGGTACCTGACTGCACAGTTCATGCTCTTAGTTGCCTCTCTGCAGAGCCAATTAGCAGTGGCTTCAGTTATAAGGGCATCTATCATTTACTTTTATAGAAGTGTGGCATAGTCAGCCCTGGAGTCCCCTGATGCTGTCCTTTGCCATCCTCAGCACACTGGCTTCTTGCCATCCCAGTGGCACAAGATGGCAGCTAGGATCAACTATCCTCTTCTCCCATAGGTGTGTCTATGGTAAGAAGGGAGGGGCAGGGGAAACTGGCAGACTTCCTTGGTGTGTCCTATTGGTCCGAACCAGGCCAGAAGCTCACCTTGGACCAATCACTGCAGGCCAGAATGGGTGTGCCATGACTGACCAGGACTAGCTTGACCAATCACATTTGTCCCCTGGGGCTCGGTGCAGTGTAGTTGGTACAAATCAGGGTTCAGCAAGCAAAGAGGAAAGGGCATGGCCATTGGGTAGGCAATCAAGGATGATGATGGTCTCAGCAGCTGACATTTACTGAGCATGCACAGCGGGCCAGACTCTGTCTGAAGCTCTTTAGATAAATTACCTTATCAGGTCTTCATGCTGTGATTTATGATGAATGATTTGAAGCCTATGGAACTTAAACAACTTGCCCCAAATTAGCCAGACAGGAGGGGAAGAACCTAGATTCAAATGCAAGCCCCTTAGAAAATGGCTCTCAACCCCAGGAGGCAGGGGCACAAGATGAAATACAGTTAAATTAGAATTTCAGATAATGAGGGAAAATATTTTAATACAATTTTGTCCCAGTGGGGCATACTTATAGTAAAAAAGCCATCTGTTGGTGATACTGAGTATCCTATATTTTTGTTTGCTAAACTTGACAGTCCAACTAGGGTCATGAGGTAGGAAACCTAAACAGTGGTGTGGAGGCTCAGCCACATGTTGCTTGCAGCATAAACACCAAGGAATAATCTCAGTTCCACAAGGAAATATGCATGCTCCCATTTTTCATGACACCTGACCCCTCCTGGATTACTGTTTTCCTTTTTTTGAAAGAAATATAAGTGCAGAGAAAATTTCCCTGCCTCAGAAAAACAAGTGATAAATGGCAACTGGCATTCTGCCTCAGGGCCAGGGCTGCAGGAGGGAGAGGTGGAGAGTGTGGGAAACTGGAGCATCCCCTTTAGACACTCCTATCCCATCGATCTTTGCCAGGTGGAATGTGGACCCAGCACAGTCAAATCTTCCAGTGTTTGAAGGGAGGTAGAAATCTGGGTTTTATTGTAAAAATCTCTTGATTTGTGAACATTGGCTCATATCTTATTAAACACCACATGAGCCAAAGGAAACATATCTGCTGGCTTGTGGGCAGCCAGGAAAAAAACTTATGTTTAACTTTGAAAGAGGAGGCTGCAACTATTGCAAAGAGGGAAGCAGAAGAGAGGCAGGGCTGGAAGCATCCTTGGCATCTGGGGAGTGCTTGGGACTAGGAACTGCAGTCAGACCAGGATTCAAATCTCTTCTCTTCTGGGTGACTGCTGTGCGACAGTGGGTGGGTTGCATAGCCTCTCTGTTTTCTAAGCCATTTAGAGGCTATAACTGTATCCATCTCACTGTGTAGCTGTAAGGATCCTGCTGAACCAGCTGACACAGGTAATGTGCCTGGCACATAAGAAGTGTGTAATAATTTCTTGCCCTCCCTTGGGAAGGGCTCACGCTTAGAAGTTCAATTTGAATACTACTTTTTCAAGCCCTTTCATCCCCCAGCCTTCCCTTCTTTCCTTCCTTCTCCCATCTCTCTCTCCCTCTCTGACCCTCTTCTTCTCTTCTTTTTCTTTTTAAACTAAACAGCATGAAGATTTAGGGCCAGACAGCAGGAGACCTGGGAGCAGGCCCTGGCTGTGTTCCAGCCCTGGTGTGAGACTGGGGGGAGGCTCTCTTCCTCACGGGGCCTCCCTCTGCGGAATAGGCAGGTATGGTTAGAGTTGTAGATGCTCTTCTAGGTTCCAGGATCACACGACTCTGTGCAGCCTTCGCTGAGGAGGGGTGAGGACGGACACGGCGGCTTCGGTGGTGATGACAGGGGTGGCTCGGGCAGGAGGCTGAGTCAGAGGGCACTCTCAGGGCTGGGAGCAACGGAACATACTGGCATACAGGGTCCAGTGACTAGCAAGCCGCAGGAAGGCAGCAGCCCATGTCATCGGCGAGCCTGTAAACAGCCTCCAAGAAGAGCTAGGTCCCTGCTTGTCTTGGCCCTGGCCATAGGCCCAGCCCAGGGATTTGGGTCAAAGCTCTTAATCCTGCCCAGAACTTGGGGGCCCTGGGCCCCTCCTCCCTGGCTTTCTGCGATCTGACCTCTGCTCGCCTCTCTGCTCCTCCTCCTTCTTGCCAGGCCAGAGTCTGGTGAGTTTCTTGAACATACAATTCTCTTCCTGCCTCCAGGCTTTTGCACAAGCTCTTCCCCCTACCTGGAATTTTCTCTCCTCTTCTCCAGGCCTCACCAAGATAATACTTCCTTATGGTTCAAATTTCAGCTCAAATATCACCCCCCGTGGGAAGCCTTCTCTGTTCCCGGGTGAACTCAGGCCCTCCTGTGGCCCATTCCTCTTCTGGTAAAAGCCCTCGCACCCCTGGAGCTGCGTCACAGGGTGCTCACGTGTTTGCTCAGTCTGTCTGCCCTTGTCCTGAGGCCAGGGACTGGGGCGGCGGCTCTGCTACCACAGACGCACCATTGGAGGAACAGACCAATGAATGAATAAAGCTTTCTGAAGGTACCAGGTAAATGTCACAGGCACAGGTTGCTGAACGTCCTGTCACAGCAGTATCACGTCAGGTCTAGGCATTCCTCAGCCTCAGATCCTGCACTATCTCCGCATCGCACTTTGGAAAAAGCTGACTCCACCCTGGGCCCCAGGGCCACCCGCAGGTATCTGGCCTCCTTGACCTCTCTAAACTCACCTCCTCCTGGCTGTGTCCCCCTCCCCATCCCAGCTCCAGCCACCCTGGCCTCCCTTCTGTGTCTCACCAGGACGCCAGGCTCATTCCTGCCCCAGGCAGGCACTTTCTGTTCCCCATGTCTGGAATGCTGAGCCACAGCCTTCTCCTCTTCCCTGTCTCAGCCTCGTCACCACAGAGAGAGCTTCCGCGCACCCGCTCTCCCCTACTCACCCTGCTCTATGCTTTCACAGCATGGATGATGATCCGAAATTATCTCATTTATTTACAAACGTCTATACCTTTTAGCTGAGTTCATGGCTGTGAGAACATGGATAGCTTTCCTCAGCTTCCCCTGCAGCTCGAGGCAGTTCTGACCAATGGGTTGGAACTGGGAGTGTGATTGGCCGTTTTGGGTATCCTTTCTAGTGATTAAACTGCTGCCCACCCTTCACTCATCATCTTTCCTTCTCCATCCTGCCACCTGGAAGGCAGATGAGAAGGCTGGCACTGTGGCCTCCGTATTGGATCATGAGAAGGAGGGCCACACTCTAGGGATGGCAGAATCATGAACCGGAAGGAGCCTGGGACACTGAGAACTTTGTGGAGTCTCCAAACCAGCCTTGAGCTGCCCACATCTAGACTTCATTTACAGGAGAGAAAAATAAACTCCTCTTTTATTTATTGCTGATTTTTTCAAATTAAGTTTATTATATTTTATTATGGTTATATTTTTGCCCTAAGTAGTACAGTCTAATGCAAAATGTCAGCTAGAATACCTGCTGGGTCTTTTAATTTTAAAATGTGCCCTATACAGCTTTATCTACTCTGTCCACAGTTTTAGCTGGAGTTACTGGACGAACCCTGGGCCAGAGAGGGAAGGCCACTTGCCCGAGATCACACAGCAGGGGAGGGGCAGAGCTGCAGTTTGAACCCAGGGTCCCAGATCCTAACCCCCAAACCTCATTTCTCAGAAGCTTCCAGCCTGAAGCCTTGCCAGACTTCCTCCAGGCCTAGCCAGGACAATGGGCAGTATGAGCTCTACCTACTCCGCCTTTCAGGCCAAGAAGTTCTTTCTTCTCTCTCTGGGGCCCAGAGCATGCTGGAAATGTGAGAGAAGCCTCCAGTTGCAGGGCCCAGGGGGGTTAAATCCTAGCTCTACCACTGAAGACCCCAGCCTCAGTTTCCCTAACTAGTAACACCCTCGGAGAGGTCAGTTACCCTGCAGGTTCCCTGAAGTGCTGTATTTAAGTGTCTGACACCTCAAGGAGGACAGAGTGCTACACCCCACGAAGTAGAAATTTCTGGGGCACTGGTGTTAGGAGGTGGGCTACATAGCTACATAGTACAAACTTTGGAATCAGTGCTGGCTTCAAATCGTGGCCCCACACTTAACGACTGTGTGACCCTGAGTGAGTCACTCCCCGTGCCGTAGCTTCTAGGCGCTGGAGATTCGGCAGTGAACAAACTAGACGAGGCTGAGCTTCTGGGGCTGATGATCCAGTGGGGGAGCCAGACAGCCAAGAAACAGACAGACGTGTAGCGTGTGGGATGACAATAAGACACACAAAGCCAGCTGAAGCAGAGGGAGGGAGAGAGAGCGGGAGGGCTCTTCAGAAATAGTCAGGGAGACCTCCCCGAGGAGGGGACATCGGCGCAGAGACCTGAAGGGCGCAAGACGTGATGCTGTGCGGCAGCTAAGCCTGACCCCTCCCGGCGCCCTGCAACCACCCCCAGGCCTCCTCTAGCCGAATTCCTCCTCAGAGCAGGAACCCCGTGGTGGCCAGCCCTGGGTCCTGGCACCCGCCCAGAGATGGCTGAGTGAAGCAGAGACCCTGGCTGTCTCCTGCCTGTCCCCCTCCCTGCAAGTGTCCAGCCCCCAGCAAGCCTGCTGTTCTGGCTGCTAAAGCTCCCTTGAATCCACCCACCTTCACTTCCTGCCTGAGCTACTGCGGAAGCCCCCCTCGGCCCCCTGCTCCTGCCTTGCTCTCCTGCAGATGGTGGTCCCCGCAGCATCGGCATGGGTTTCCTCTGGCTGCTCTAAACAGCCGGAGTGGCTTAAAACAACACACGTTGATCCTCTTACAGCTCTGGAGGTCCGAAGTCTGAAATCAGTCTCATGGGCCTAAAGTCAAGGCGTCAGCAGAGCTGCTTCCCGCGGGAGGCTCTCGGGAGGAAGCTGCCTCCTTACCTTTTGCAGCTGCTAGTGGCCCCCTACGCCCCTTGGCTTGTGGGCCCTTCCTTCACCGCCCACGCGCACCCCTCAGGCTCTGCTGGTGTTCTCTCTCCTCTCCGCGTGCTTCTCATCTATAGTTAAGCCTGCCTTTGCCTCCGTCCTATAAAGACTCCAGGGGTGACTTTGAGCCCACTCAGATTATGCAGAAAAATCTTCCCACCTCAAGATCCTTAACTAAATCCTGGCGGCAAAGTGACTTTTGCCACATAAAGTTAACATTCATAGGTATTGGGGACTGAGACGTGGATGTCTTTGAAGGGACATTATTCAGCTGAACACAGTATCCAAAGGCGTCTCGTTAGAACCTAAGTCAGATCCTGTGCCTCTTCTGCTCAAAATCCTCGCATGGCTCCCAGCTGCCTTAGAGTGCATGTGAAGCCCTGCAGCAGTCACTTAGCCCCGCACATCCGTGTGCTTGTTACTTCTCCGACTTCATCTCCTCGTCCTCTCCTCCCTCATTTACCTCCAGCCAGACCTCCTCGCTGATTGTCAACACTCCATGCAAGCTCCTGCCTCAGGGCCTTTGTACACACTGCTCCGTCTGCCCAGAACCTTTCACCTTGCCTCATCCCAAGGCTATTCCTTGTCATCCTTCAGCTCTCACCTCCTCAGAAAGGCCTTTGTGGCTACCAGTCCCTCGCTAACAGCCTACCCCTATCCTCACAGCCACAGTTAACACAGTCTGAAATTATCTTGATTGCTTGTTCATTTCCTTATCCACTTTCCCCAATGGACCGTCAGCTCCTGAAGACCCAGCACGGGCTGGGTCCATCTGGTTCTCTGCTGTAGCTCCCACACCACGGACAGGGCAAGGCATTTGGACCTTCTTAGTGACTTTTTGGCTTGGTCTATTTTCTCAGTAATTAAAACACTCCATAGATAAAAAGGTGGTGAGGCATCATTTATACTAAGTAAGTAAGGATTTAGACAGGCCTAGAATAGAGGCAGGGGTCTCCAAAGGACAGAGCCATCAGGAGTGGCAGTGGGGTCTCCTGGTGAAGAGCAGGGACAAGGAGTGGCCTGGGCAGGTGGCTCTTTGTCTCTGTGCCTCAGTTTCCACATCTGTAAGTGGATGTCAGAACTGAATCTGCCTCATGGCAGGGTCCTCAACCAGTGCTATTAACATTGTGGGCCTGATGATTCTCTGCTGGGGGTCGTCCTGTGCCCTGTAGGAAACTGAGCAGCAACCCTGGCCTCCACCCACCAGATGTCAGCAGCACCTTCTCAGTTGTGACAACCCCAAATGTCCCCAGATAGCCCAAATGTTTCTTGAGGGGCAAAACCGCCTGCAGCTGTCTCATAGGATCACCCTGGGTTTGAGAGATGATGTGGGTAAAGCATTGGGCACAGAGCCTAGTTCTCAAGAGCGACTCAGGGCATAGGAGCTACCACCTGCTTAATAGGTGCCCAGGCTGGCATCCTGGCTTTGCCATCCGTTAGCAGGTGGCTTTGAGTAAGTGACGCTAGCTTTACACGCCCAGCTTCTTCATATATAAAATGGGATAATAACCTCACTCTCTTGCGGGCTGTCAGAGGACGTAGGGCCACACTGGGCATGTAGTAAGTGCTCAAAAATGGCAACTCTGATGATGAGGACGAGGATGAGGATGAAAAAGTAGGAGCAAAAAAAGGGTCCTTTGCAAGGCAAGGGTCTCTAGGGTGTGCACCCCTGCATTCATGGGGGACACACAGGCACATCTGCTCAGACCCTCAGCCCTGTGGGCCATTTAATAATTAAGCTGAAGAGGGAGTGATGAGGCTAGAAGGCCAGCGGTGCCCAGAGGCTGGCCTTGTTTGGCTTTGGTGACGCCATGGCCCTGGGATCATGGCCTTCTGGAGTCCACAAACAGGGGGCTGGGCCCCAAGACAGGCAAGGCCAGGCCAAGGTCTGTGCTGGTGGCCTCAGGCCTAAGTCACGAAGTGGGTGGAAGTGGAGTGCCCAGCGGCCACAGGGAGCCGGGTGCTATGGACGGAGGGCTGTTTTCTCAAGGGCTCAACTCCCCTGCCACGGGTTCTCTTTCCTTCTCTGCCCAGCCCCTCTTCCTGTCACCTCCCATTTACTCAGCATGTACTATGTGCAGTGCTCTGCCAAGCACTGTGTACAGATCAACTCCTACTGCCCCACAGAGCGCGGAGGGGTTGCTGGGCGCCTTCCGCAGATGAGTAAGGCTCCCAGTGCCCCAGTGAGGAGTCAGGCTATGGGTGCTGAAGTCACTAGCTGGGGGCAGAGCCACACCCCAGCCTGGGCCTGGGTCTCCCAGCTCGCCCTGACCCCTCCCTGGCCGCAGCCTCTCACCCCTTGCCCTGTCACTCTCCCACCTCCCTCTCTCCTCCTCTCCTCTGTTTTCTTCTCTCCCCAGCTTCCTCCAAACAACTTTCTATTTGTGGTTTTCTCCATGTCTCCCATTTTCTGCCTCGGTTTCTTCACTTTCTCTTCCTTACTCCCTCTGTTTCCTTCTCCCTGTGTTTCTGTGTTTCTCTTCCTCACCCCTCCGTCTGTGTGTGTGTGTGTGTGTCCCTCTCTCTCTCTCTCCTTTCCCCCCTCTTGCCTGTTTCCTTCTGGTTGCCCCGCCTCGCGGCCCTGTCTCCCTGCAGCCAGCCCTTGTCCCGCCGCCAGCACATTATGTCCCTGGTCAGACCCTGACGTCAGGCGGGGCCTGGCCCGTGGCCATGGGCTGCTGCCGGGCAGGCGGAGGGGTGCATGTCTTCCCGGTCCCCACCGTGGTGGCCGCCTGCCCAGCCCCACAGTCAGGGCTTTAGATCCCCCAGCCTGGCCTCAGCTGGCCCAAGAGGGGACAGTGCTTGGTGGCCGCCTGGCCTAGGAGCTGGGGCTGCAGGCCTCTCACACCTCCCTCCCCTTCCCCTGACCCCAGAGCCACAAGAAATAGCTCCTGGTCCTGCCTGGTCCCAGAGAGGAGACGGTGCAGTGGGGACCAGACCTGGGGCTGAGTGTGTGACCTTTGGCAAGTTACCCGCCTCTCTGAGCTTTGTCTTTCTGGACAATCGGGCCTTTGAGGCACCTGCCTCTCAGGTGGGCCCGGAGGGCCAAGTCTAGCCAGGGGCCTGCAGTGTGGGAGGGAGCTCAGTGTCATCACAGGGTCTCGACCTGAAGCCCTCAAAACGGGGAGGCTCAGAGAGGCGCAGGGGGATCTGGGTGACCCAGGACCAGGGGGCACAGCTGGTGTTTAAAGGGCAGGCACTTGCCGTGACACCCCACCCAAAATACAAACAGTGCCCTTGCTGAGAAACCCTCCCAACGCCCACTGAAAGCCCAATGAGTGGTTAAAAAAATGTAATATTTCTTGTTTGCTTTGTTTGGATTCCCCCCTCTGATTTTCAAAGGGATGTCATTTCTTTGAAGGGCATTTAGAAGGGCACCTGAGCATCCTGGTTTAAGAACGGACTCGA